CAGAGGTGTCTGTGATCCAAGTTTCGATAAGGACCAGGCCCACTCGCCCTCCGTGTCCTCACCCCCTCCCTGGGAAAATGGCTGCGTCCTCCTCCCTGGCAGGGCATCGGACTCCCCCCGCCCCCCCCCAGCCGCGGCAGCCGAGACTTAACATGATTTGTTCGTCTGCTGCTGCTGCTGCATGTTTGCACCCAAGCCTAGCGCCAGCCCTCGTTCCTGCAGCTGCAGAGCCAGAGCGCCGGTGAGGTGGTACAGTGAGGAGGGGGCGAAGGGTTCAAGGGGGTGTTAAGGAGGGTGAGGCCGAGGACGCGAGGTTGAAATGAGTTTTGGAATACGATCCACGGGCTGGAAACATTTAACAATTCTCCAAAGTGAGTCCGGACTCGTACCGTCAGTCGGTCCGCGTTCATTCTTAAACTAAACTGAGGGTTTTCACGTTTTCTCCCACTTTCCCTTTTTTTTTATTTCCTGGTGTTTTGTAATTGGCTGCAGTGGCGGACGGCAGGCGCAGCGGCGGCGGCGGTGGCAGCGGCGGCCGCCCCGTCGACCCATTGATCTTTCGTCAGCCTGTAGACGTAAAGCTGAGGCTGACGAGGGAGAGGCTGCAGAGAGGCAGCCCCTCTGTGTTTATGGCAGCCCGCTGGAGCCTGACGAGGATTGTTCTCCGCTTCCTCAGATTGTTTTTCCTGTAGTCAGGTCTGCAGAGCGCTGCCGCTCCGAGGAGGTGAGGCGGAGTGGAGCACGTAACTGCCACGGCCTGGGTAGGTGGACACGACGACACGACCGGGGCTTTGTTCTGCTGATGATGTTGTCATTTCTGTCACACTTCTCTGTGTGTGTGTGTGTGTGTGTGTGTGTGTGTGAGAGACTGAGGTTCATGTGTCTTTGACTAAAACCAGTGCAGAAATCTTAATGTGAAGGGTTTTTTTTTTGTTTTGACGCGTCAGTAAATATCTGACTCTTGGTGTTTACAGAACGACACAGTTTTATCATAGTTTGATCTTAACAAATATTCAGAAGCGTTGAGGTTATAGCAAGTTTTCCTGCTCGTGGAACTTTTGTTTGTTTTAGCGCGTGAAACTCTTCTTCTTCTACTTCTTCTTCTCGAGTCTTAAAGAACGTACCGTATATCGGAGTTTAGTAAACTTTCTATTTTTCTGGGGACCCATATTTTAAAAGTCACAAACCTTCGCGACCCAAG